AAGCGACTTCTATACCCTACGTAACGAACTACTAAAAGCTCTATAGTCCCTATCGCTCGAGGGATACGAAGGGGTAGATTAGTTAAGACTTAAAGGGTACTAGGTACCGCAAGATAACTATATAAAGCGTATAGAAGGCGTCTAGGACTACGGCTAGCGATTATAACACTTAGTAAGCGGCGAGTTCTACTAGTTATACCGTTATTGTTACGTTCTAAAGCGGACTAGCTATTACTTTAGGTCGTTTGTACTAAAAGCTACCCTCGTAACGAGTACTTATATAGTATATCTCCGGAAGATCTATTACATTAATTAGAAAGGTAATTAATTGCTACTAAAGCGGAAGGCCTTCTTTAACTACTACTTATTAACTAGAAGTAGTAAGTCCTTATTAATTAAGAACTAGATAGCCATTAACTTCAATAGTAGTAACTTTAAAGCGCTACTATACGACTAGCTTATCTATAATAACGTAGCTTATAACCAACTAGATAGTAACTACTTTCGGAAGCTATTAAGCTACTTAGAACTACGGTATAACCGGTTTATCCCCTTAAGGACTTACGCGAGTAACTACGTTACTTAGCTCTACGATTAGTCGGCTAGGTTAATTACTAACATACTATAAACTATAGTAACTAAGATTAACCTATCCTTTAATCTATAGACTAGTGGAAACTAGCTTACTCTACTTAGTCTATATACTTACTTTATTAATACTACCGGAAAACCGGTAATATTACTACTATTACTCCCTAAGTAGACCGGAAGATATACTAGTATCCGGATTGTAGATACTATAAGCGGTATTATTACTACTTACGGTATTAACGACCGGCTCGGCTACTTTACTACCGATAACGCTTTAAGTAACGCTACTTGTATAGACTAGCTAGCTAAGGAGTAGTCGTTCGACCGTAACGAGCGGTAGATCGGGTATTATAGCTATATCTTTAACCTCGTTAGTTAAGTAGCGCTCCTTAGTTACGACGAGTAGGTGTTTAGTACTACTATTGATTAGATAGAGCTCGAAGAACAATAGCTAACGCTATAGCGACGGAAGTCCTATTAGCAAGCTCTATAACGTAGTATACTAGATAAACCGATCCCCTTAACGTCGTAAGCGATTTACTACTTATTAGAAGGAGCTAATCGTACCAACTAGACTAGACGACAAGAAGGAGGTCTATTAACTCGTTACTAACGTTACAATACGCTAGAATAGCTTCTAAGATAGTACTAAACGAGCCGTCTACTTAAAGCTAGTAATTAAAGCTATACTAGATAACGAGCTCTTAACTTATAACCGGCGCGTCCGCTAAGCTAGACTTAATTCGTAGTACGTACTACTAAAGCGTCCCTCTATCTTAGACGACGTCCTCTTAGTAGTTAACTAGAGCGTCGTAAGCTAATATATTAAGATATTAAAGCCATTTAAGGACTTAACGATACGGCTCTAAGCTTACGTTAGCGGGAAGTTTAGCGCGATATAGTAGGTGATTCCGGTATTCGAGGACCTTATAGCCTACTTCGAGGACCTTATAAGCGCCTATCTAGTATCTAAAGGCCTCTACTCCTTACTAATTTACTCGCCACCTCCCTCTAGCTTTAGTTAGTAGCTAGATAAGGTAGTTACGAGCTAGCTAACGTTACTACTAGACGTACAAACTACCTTTAAGGACTACTTCTTAATTAATATTGATCTTGCTTAGTTAAAGCTTAATCAATACTACTTAAAGCTTAATAATTTACCGGTCTATATAGCTATAGTCGTCCTCTACCCCTACTTTAAGTAGCGTTAGCTCGAGCGAAAGTAGAAGGAGCGCTTAGACTAGGTTAACGCTACTATAGTGTCTTTTAACCGGCTAGTTAATTAATATCGGTACTAGTAACTACTAGATAACGAGCATTTACCTCTAAAGCGGCCGAAGCTTGATATTAACGTTATAGCTAAGCTTCTAAGCGACGAGGAGGACGAGGAGAGCGATATTAACTAGTAGCTAGCTAGTTATAAGCGTAATAGTAGTTATAGGCACTTAAAGCTTACTAAGACGACGTTACCGATCCAATATTAGCTTAGTAAGTAGTCTATATAGCTATAACTAACTACCCTTGCTTTATAGGTAATAGCTATAGTAGTAATATTAGACAAGCCTAAACGTGTCTTTAGTAGTACTAGAGCTACTATAATACTATAGCGGCGAGCGCTTATAGATACCTTAATTAACAACCTAATAGTTATAAAGGCTTAGTGCAAGATAGGCTTAATTACACTAGATAGGTAAGGAGCTACATTTACTTTACGGGCTTACGCTAACGATATTAGGTTATACTTTACTACAAAGGGTAGTAGAGAGCCTTTAATTAGCACCTCCGAAGTTCCGCACGTAGTATTAGACGATTAAGACATAGTGTCTTGGCAATTCACTTCAATTACATTAATTAATCTAATTACATTCACCTACGTTGATTGCAATCAACGCTAGGCCTGTCAATTGACCAATCAACTCAATTATCACGTGTCAGATTGGTTGCGTTGATTGAACACAGGTCTGCCGAACGCCTGCTTGTGGTACCTATAATACGACTAAGTCTTCGACATTCAAGTTCGCAAACCAGCTGGCGACGACGACGGCACCGCGACCAATCCTGCGAAATTCATTCGCCACCGACCCTGCTTCCGACTCACAAGCGCGCTCCAGTACCAGGACGTCAGTGTACTCTTCTAGCTCCTCGGAAACTTTGTCCATCATGCGGTTGTCCTCAATGCCACTCCGAACCGCTCTCTGAGACTGCATAGCTGCGCAAAAGATGTCCGTGCAACGCAAAGGAGTATCGTAGTCCAACGCTGCCCAGCCTATGATTCGACCGTGTCGAGATGCTTTCAGTACTCTTGTCTGAGGCGGGAATCTTGGGTCAGGCGTTCTGGCCAGGTAGCGCTCAGGAACAATGCCTCTGGGCGTCTTTGTGGGCTGTTCATAAATACAGGATCCTGTAATAGGAAGGTACTCGTCGAAAGTCCTCAAGCGCATGTCCGCTACCGCACTCCCAAGCCCAGCAGAGCGCAGTACCGTGTTGAGTAGGAGGCGTCCGTCTTGGATAGATGCTGGCCCGCGTACGACGATGTCGATCGGCGTACATATTGCTGTGACCGTGTTGTATGTTACTGCGCCGTTCAAGCCCATCCAGCTCCACGACGGCGAGCAAAACTGCTGATGTCGTTTCCTGCTCTTCTCGTCTGCAATCCACAGTAGACTCGACAGCTCACACGCTCCATCTCTGTCCAGAAGTATCCCATGTTCAATTCGAACAGCCCACCGTGTTTCAAATCTTTGCTGGATACCGCTAATTGCCAGATACTTGTCAAGCTCTTCGGTCAAGGTGCACTTGGAATACTCCTCCACGAGCCACGTCTATTGTTGAAGGTGATCTTGATCTCCTTCCAGCATAGGCCTCTGTGCGTGAGGTTGATGGTGATCTCCTGGCATATTCCTGTGCGGTAGCCATTGGTGAACTCCACGTCGATCTTCGTCTCCATTACCCTGCCGACAGTCCCATAGCAGCTTGTACTTTGTAAAATACACAGTACGTCTCGACAGCATGCGTTCTTGCATAACCCACCCTCTACCATGCCATTCCGAGTGACGAACAATGTACCATCCTTGAGGATTTGCAATCTTTAGACCTAGCTCATCAACAAACGGAGGCAAGCGCTCGGTGTTACCAGCGGAGGCGCCCGGCAGCCCAAAAGAATTTTCTTGCCATATGCTGCATGGCCAACGCACTGGCTTCGGCCCGGGCGTAACGCGATTAAATAGGCCGGAATCGCTACCATCTGATTGTATAGTGTCAACGGCAGCAAGCATGCACGTCGCATTCTCGAATATGTCTCCCATTTTGCCAATCTCTCTCTTCCGATCTTCATAATCATCCTGCACAATGCACAAACTGTCTATCCAGAGATACCGAAAGCCGAGGAGCTTAGTCATGAGTATCGCATGTCGAAATGTAAGTGTAAGGTGTGTATTTGGTATGTACTCTTGCAATTGACGAGTATTTCCCTTCAGTAGCTGACATGGCTGCAATGGACTCCACCGGTGCCTCAATGTAAGGTATCGCCCGCGTGTCCCGCCTGTCACGAATAGTCTTGCGAAGACGCAGAAGGTGTTTTCAGAATTGGGTATATCTGTCACTTCGACCACACGCGTCGGTAGAACTTGAAGATTATCTTGTTCTTGGCATCCCTGACCGTCGAAAGACATCCGACACTCTTCATGGTTCTGCATACAATGATGCAGCCATTCGCGAAGAGCAGCAGCATTGCGCTCGTGACCCGGGTGCTGAATATCGAGAGTAGGAACAAAGCCGCCACGTGCGTAGCGTGAGTCTGGTGGACAGTTAGCTACATCCTTAGCTCTAATGCAGGATTCTGATTTTCCTTCTGGTGCAAAGACCTGAACAGCATAACCATCATTGACACTTCCCCGATCAATTCGCTCGCTTGTCGTGTCGGAATGTGGGATCCAAGTAAGATGTTGAGGCGGATCTCAAGCGCTTCGCAGAGCCCGGCGGAGGGATAGTTTATTCGTTTAATGTACTTCGTCTTGGGAAGTTTGGGAATCCAAGCTTCGTACTCATTTAACATCGCGTTCCTCGAGTGAAGAAGTTGCAATTTACTGAAGGAATAAATAAAGATCAGGCACATAGGACAAGATTTTGCAGAAACGAGCATTTCATTATAAGTTAGCTCATGGTGAAAGCCAGACATGAGGTCAACTAAAGTGATAGAGCTGCAAAAGTTGCACAAATCGGAGAATTGGGCAGACTCCATGGATAGTAAATTTACAAATTTGGGAAAGAAAGAAACTAGAATGAGAAGCTTAGAGGGCCACGTTTTCAAGACGCTGGTGGCGTGAACGAGCTATTGAGGCCAAGCACATGATTGGTTGGTTGGCTGGATGTATTTCTCCTCCGTTGCACCTGCCCTTTAACGACCAGCTATGGGTTTGGCTGGCGGCCGATGTGTCACCTGGCGAATTGGTGCCGCCCACTTTGCCATATCGGAGTCTCCCTTCTTCCAGCAGAAGACCGGACAAAATGATGAGGCTCAGTCCGTCCAAGAAAGACAAATCGGCCATTCTCTGGAGCACACTTCAGGCGGTGAAGATGCTTCGATGATCCACGGACCGTACGAACCTCAGCACTCTGCCTCTGATGGAGAAGACGATGTTCAGCGAGGAACGAGAGAGGCGGTGGAACACATGCTTAGCACCGAAGATGCTGCTGGCGAGATCCTAGATGACAGTGCACCAAGCAGCGTAGGGGATAGCGGATTTGATTAGTTCAGCAGCAGTGCAGAAGCCAGTGGTTCGCTGCAGAACAGAGCTAGTCTGTTGCCAGGAGTTTCCAGGAATGCCGACCCGACTGCCAGCGGGCGCCGACTGGAGCCCGTGTCGAATGCTGAAGCTTTGACATTCGACCCAACACACGACGACTTACAGCAGGAAGAGGCATCTAGTTTGGAAAGAACTCGAACTGTCCGTGCGCAGGAGCCATTAGTCGAACGTGCGGACACCGATCGTTCCGGCATTCAGAGATATGAGACCCCCTTCACAGACCATGGCAGCAGTGAACCCCAGGAAAGTTCAAGATTACGGACTGTTCGGCCCCCATCATTCTTCCCAGGCCCTCATTCATTCCTTCCTGGCTCAAAACGAGTGGCAAAGGATGTCCTCCCGCGCAGTGCCGATCCTCCTAAATCTCTACCGCCCCCGGCCCACCGCTGTCAGCTATACGGGAGAGCTCTACTGTATCGCCAGCTACAACAAATACGAAGGGCAACCAAAATATTGCCACCGGAACCCTGGCCGCACGAAGGAGGAAACGCAATGAGATGGAAGGTGCAGAAGTGCACATAAAATCATCCAGAGAACAGACTCTCGCGCAGCTGGAACGTTGGGAGTCCATGGTGGAAGAAGTTGATTCAGTAGAGAACATTCGGGAAGATTTGGAATGGGACGGGATCTATGTCAGAGGCACTGTGAACATCAGAACACTGTCCAGGCAGGAGCATCCAACAATTGGAACGTTTGTGGAGTTGGTTGAGGACAGAAAAGGACCGATTTGATGCTCAGCTTCGCCCCTTGTTGCAGAAAGGTTTCCGATTGCAAGTGATTACCTCGGACCGGCATTCTCCAGCGCGTCAGTATCGCGCGCTCTCTCACCTGGAATACTGCGATGCTCATTTCACCGACCGGACGTTGGATTGGCTCGCGGTGATAAGCCCGAAGGTTGCGGACAGGCGAGGTCCGGAGAAGATCAGAAGGGTAGGGATCGTGTAAGCGGTACCGAGAAATTAAGGCAATTAAGGCAAGATAACGTCTGTTCCTGTGATGATCGCTGCTGTGTGGCGATGGCGACAAGAAGTTAAGACACATTTAGAGTGTGGCCGGCAGCGAAGGCTGCCCACGCGTGAGGTGTACCTGGTGGCGAAGGATCGGTTGAGCGCTGCACGCAGATGGACCGCGTCGCGCAACGAGCTGGCTGTAGGGCGGCCGCTCTGCGCTGTAACCTTAGGCCGTTGCACGAAGCTCAGTCTCCTTCTGAGAGATTGCATGCGCACCAAATCTCTTGTTCGTCGCTCACATCCACAAGGGAAAGCCCTCTCAAGATCTCTATAAATCAGAGAAGCTATCCGACGGAATGGACCTGAGCACACCTGTCCTCGAGCACTCCGACAACGAGTTTGGCAAGACCAACATGCACCGATCTGACCCAGTCGAACGTCTTAGACATCGGTTCTACGAGCCGCTGCTCTTCCTCTGGATGCTCAATCCAGCGCGAGGACCGACTTTCGTGCAACCAACGATCAACCAACCCTCGCATGACTTTTTCTCGCAGTGGCGGGAGTTTCTGGACTGCCTCTCTTGGATGTGTGATTTCAACCACGGAGGGAAGACGGTCAGTGCGGTGGCGGGGGAAAGGACGGTTGACGGCACGCGATTCTGGTTGGCGTCCAAACACGAGAGTGCTCTGCCCCACCTTCGCGACATCCTGGAGAAGCTCCAACTGATGAGGATGTCAAACCCCAACGAGATGGTGGCCACGGCACGAGCGATCTCAGAGTCCTCCATTGCGCTTAGCGGTGACAAGATCAAGAACTATTGCAGGGAACTGTCCAGGAGACTGGGTACAATCGAGGAGAGGGATGACAACACCGATCTATTGTCCGCAATTTCTGCCATCAGTATCATGAGAGATCAGCCTCTTGAGGTCTGTCGTGGTGCTCTGAGCTTTCCAGAATTCCGGACACTAGATCGACAAATCGAAGCTATGACCGATGTTCGCACTCCCACGGAGTGGTCGTACCTGCGTCACTACTTGCTACGACTGCAGAGTTGGCACAAGAAAACCGCCGTCATTGTTCACTTTGCAGCGCGATATCCTTCAGTGCTTGGAGGCTGTTCCTGCGAGTGGCTGCAGACACCCGGAGATGCTAGGTTGCCCGAGAAAGATGAGAAGACAAATCTCCTCAGTGCCTTGAAGAGGATGCTTCCAAATGATCAGCAGCAGCGAGCGACAGAACTGTACGATTCAGTTGGCAGTCTCCGAGATTTCAACTTCGACGCCGCATTCGCCAAAAGCTTCGATGCCAAAGGCCCTTCACTGGTTGTGCATGCGGAAGTATTCTTGATGGAGCACTTCTATTGGAACAATCTCCGTTTCCTCGAGAACGACCGGTACATTGGCTGCAGCAAGCGATCCTGCTACTGTTGCAGCCTATACATACGATACCATCCGGGGAACTACGTGCTTCGACCGTCTCATGGAACTGCTTGGGTCACGTGGGGCTTGCCTCTCCAAGCCAAGCTAGAGGATGAAGTGGTTAAGAAACACAATCTTGAGGTGTTGAACAAAGTCGTGCAGCACTTGAGGCGTGACCTCCTGAATGAGCTCGAGGTCCGGTTCCCAAGGAGGCAGAGACCTCCGGACTCGACTTCAGCATTCGCCTCACTTTCGCTCTGAAACGGAGGAAGGCGACTGCAAACGGCGGATCGGTCTACACAACTCGTTGGCGAACTTTTCAGTCATGATCTCGTTAATTGTATTGACAGACTTCGCAGCTTGAGTCCAGCCATTAAAGAGCGTGCATTCCCCACATTTCATCAAACGCAGCATCCGTGAAGTCATTAGTCATCTCATCCAGTGCACTTAGTCCCGTTCCAATCTCGTGAATCCCCCGACCTTCTCCGTCGATCATAGACTGATCGAATAGGAGAGAGTCGACCTTGGCATCGATGATGCATTCCTGCAGAGCTCGATAGCGTATGGCGAGTTCGGGGACTTGGGTGGTGGTGGTCAGGTGCTCGATCACTCGCGGGCGCTTGCCGGTCGTCTTAGTCATCAGTTTTGTCCAGCTTTCTGGGTCAGTGGATGTACAGCAGCTTATCAGACTGTCGACGTACTGTGTCTCTGGCAGAGATGTACCCAAGACTAGACAAGCACCGCCACCTAGGTCCGTCTCTAGAGTTTTGTAGAATTTACCACGTTCGATCATGGTGACAAGAGTGCTCATCGCATGTTCATAAGTCCTTTCGAGACCTGCACAATGGTGGAGCGCCTGGGCTGTTTCTTCGACCGGTGTGGGCCCTGCACGTTCCCTGTACCTCACCAGCACCAGACAGGAGAGTCTCTGCACCATCCGCAACTATGCGCCGTCACGTTCTGCGCGGAGATACATCCCCAAGACCTGGGCTTCAGGACGGAGGTGTTGGTCCACCGTACCGGTCGAAGAAAACTCCCAGAAGCCGAGCGGCTGACACCACCATTCATGCGCGTGCCCTTCAAGAAGGCGTGTCGTCTCGTCGTCCGGACCCTGGAAGCCAAAGAATTTCTCGAAGCGCGTGCGGTCGTTCTGGCCCCTCTCCTGAACCCGAAAGTTTACTAGGTCGAACAGAGACTTCTCCGTCAGTTGGATGTCGCGGACTTGCGCGAGGAGTGAGTTAATGTATCTTGCATTCTTGAGAAGGTCAGCGACATGGTTGAAAGAGTAATGGCCTCGAGGCTTAGATACCTCGGTGCGGTCACCAGTGAGGTTCCGCCTGATCTGGTGACCGTCTTCCATTGTGTCGTAATAACAAAGAGGAACAAGGCCGTCAAAAATGAAAGAAGGAATGGAAGAAGACCAGGCGAAGGAGATGGCACATCATGGGGCTTGGATGTGCTTTAATGTGTTCAATTCGATTCACCGATTCTTCTATCATTGCACGCTCCCACACGTTCTCACGATCGCTTCACGAGATGGCGTTCTCGGTGTGGAGATCGCTCCGATTCACCCGCATAGGCTTGCATGTTGCGTCACATGTGCTGACGTGTCAATGCGTGAGGTCCCCAACAGTATGCCAGCATTACCCCGTAAAGGACGAATCGACTTTACATCCCTTGCAGATCGCGTAGACCGTCGCCCAAGCTTGCATGCAGGCTCTGAAGCTCTTTCCGCCGATATTGAGTGGTCTCTCGTTCCCCACCGATATGGTGCAGCTCGTCTTCTGAAAGGCCTATCACCATCTCTGGTGAAAAGACGTCGGCCAGATTGCGCAAAAGGTGTCTTTCGACGACTTGGACACAGACGTTGTCCACGAACGTCTTGGGTGCAACCTTGTAATAAGCAATAAGGTCGGACCATGCCTCCGAGCAAGCCTGTTCGTCCATGTCCACTAGTACCCGTCTCTGCAGTGCACCGAGTAACTTCTCGGTGTCGACGGTGGTGTTGCTGATATGCAGCTTCTTGTTGTATTCCTCCAAGGACGCTTCTTTCCATGGCCTTTCGAAGAAGACCCCGGGTCGTTTCGTGCCGGGAGTTTTGCACGTTGTCTGTGAAGTAATGATTGTAGGTGATTGGCTGTCCGTCTTTATCCTCGCAGAGACGATCGAGCTCCGCCTGTGCTATCCTGCTATTGCGTACAAGAGACACAGCGATTCTCCCGGAGATCTCGCGATGCATTTGCTCATCCGCGTTCAGATACGCCAGAGCATCTTCGATAAAGCTCTCGATGCTGCTAATCACGTGCGACAGATGCATAGAAGCGAACGATTTCCATCGGTCCGACTGGGAATGGAAAAGCTCGGTCAAGAGGACATGGTTGTAGTGGCCCGACAACTCACGACCTCTTGTGCTTCGGTAGATCTAGCTCCGTCAGCAGCGTTTCGACGAGAAGCTGTGAGCGTGAAAAAACCTCCATGACGAAACCCGTCACATCGGCTTCGGACATCACTTGTTGATCACGGTGCAGGCGAGCGTAGGGGTCAGTTGACGCGGCGTTGCTCGGGTCCGAAAGACTCTCATGATCGGCATCTGCAATCGAGGGCGAAGTGTGACCAATTTTGAACGTTGCCCCATGCAGTCGCATCTCACTCGCAAAGCGTGTGTTGACATTGTGTACAAAAGCGCGCAGGCGTACGTACTGTCAATCTTCCGAGGGGCGGGCAAAGAAAGGAGCATCGACTGCGTGATAGTCCCCACGCAGTGCGGCTACGGTGAGATTGTGAGAACGCATCGCAAACCGCGAAAGAAACATGCGAATATGCACCGGCGTCGGTCGTTCGTGACCCAGGTCGGACAATGCACCTCCAACCTTGCCCAGCAGCGCGCGAATTTCTTCTCGGACCTTGGGCAATTCGCGCTCGATGTGTTCTTCCAAAAGCTGCTGCAAGAGTGTACGTAGGTTCGAGACACCGAGCCTCTCCTTGATGAGTCGTTGCTCCTTCCAAGGCCAAGTAGCAAAGAAGCTCTCCTCGTTTCGCTCCCGCTGCGATCGGGTCAAACGTTCTGACACCTCTAATGGACTGGGGTTTTTTAGGAGGAAAAATCCCAACTTCAGTCTCATCGCGTCCTGGTTCTTCGACAACGCAGCAATGCGGCCTTCCGTGCCAACATTCACGAGATCGGGTTTAGTGATGATCCATACCGTACGCTCGCCGGTCCGATCTAATTTTTTGGACTTCTAAATGATGCTCTGATTAGCAATGTCGTTGCTGGCTTGGACGACGGCGAGGATGATCGCCCGGGGAGTCTGAACGTACCAGTCCACTAGCTCGTGCACCATTCGCACGTCGTCTTCTTCTTGTTCCTCGTTCGTTGCCGAGATCAATCCAGGCAGATCGATGACGGTCAAGTTAAGCCCGATCGGACCCGAGACGTGAATGCACGTCCGCCGCAAACTCTACACTGTGAGGGTTTCCGAACCCACGCAGGTCCATCAAGGCGCCGACCTCCATAATGACGTCTGACAACTCGCTCAAGTTGTCGAGAGACCTTTTATACACCATCAGTCCTCTCGCCTACGGCCTGATCGGGCGGCGCTGGGGACGATACGTGCTTGCGTTGCCATTGCTGCATCGTCGTGGGTCAGCATGATCTCGGTTGCGAATCTCGTGCACAATCCGTCTTTCCTGGGGAAATATAGTCCCGTGATGCCTTCTAGTACTGAGCTTTTCCCAGCAGATTGATCCCCGCACACAATGAGCTGCGGAAGGTCGACATGCTCCCCGATGCCACAAGAACGCAATCTTGCGATCTTTTCGAGTCATTCGCTGGTCTTGCCCGACTGCAGGCTCGACAGTAAATTTGAGGTGTCCATGGCAGTCTCTTGATCGAGCTCAAGCCGGAGACTGGTGATATGTTTTACAGTGGCCGGGACTACGAACACTTATATCCGTGTAGAGCCGTCATCGAAATGGCTCAGTTGCTCCCAACATGTGACTTGAAGATGTTGCGCACGTCCAACAGACCTCGTCGCGATTTCTGACATCGTTCAATCGTTTGGTGAATTCAGGCCGGTCCAGCGACGCCCTCAGACCTCTGTGCACTAAACAATGTGGTCCAAGCTTGCCGTACGGCAATTTAGCACGTTCAGATGGAGAGCTCCGAGAACTCAGCGTTGGCGCATGAACATGAGAGCGCACTGTCAATCACTCCTTTCTAAATGATCCATCTCTGTTATCATACCATATGATCATATCGGGCATGGCACCGGGGTGCGACCCATTCGGTGGCGCAGGACTTCAGCTTGCTGGCCATTGACGTGGGCGTTCATGATTGACCATTCCTTCACCGGTCCATCTTAGTGGTACTCCGTCGGCAGGGTCTTCTGCAAGTAGCAAGGATGTGCCAGGTCTACATCCTTGGCGTTTTCTGCTGTCTGTTTTGCACCTCAACCGACAGGAGCTGTCGCATCAACGCAGCGCTGGCGTAACTGCTTAATCGGAAAGCCTGCGTATTCATGTCCTACGCAATAAGGTCATTACTCGCTATTAGCAACTGCATCTGCATACGAGGTGCAGTGTCGATTGATTGCGCTCTCACGCCGCTCCGCTGCAGCCTCAAGATTTCCAGCCTTCCGGCCATGCAAAAGTCACGTTTTGGAGATCGTCATTGCGGAAGAAAACCAGTCCATTCATCCACCCAAGCGCTGACGTCACGGTGTTATATCTGGCATTGACGCTCAAGGACACAAATTTGTCGGAAGAACCAGCGGTAAAGGTGCCGGACTGCCATGCGGTGAATGCGTACATGTCGCGATGGACCTCATGCGATTCAGGAACGAAGACGCCGGCGCACTTACGCGTTCGCGAGTATCCAATGCGCAGGTGGTGGCCTCGGTTAACAGCTTGCACAACCTGCCACATCATTGCGTCCATGTAACAGCATGCCGTAAACTCCACGCCTCGTCTTCGCTTCTGAACGTAATCATCGAGTTTGTCGGCGAGCCGTCGATGCCTACGTCCGAGTCTGTAGACGAGGTCATCAATTTCCTGGGCCGCCCATGGTTGACAAAAAAGCGTTGCCGCACGCGCTGGGCTCATCCGATGGTACGTAGAGCGAGACGTACGTAGCACATGCCGACCCTCCAAGTGCCAGATCAGACCGCGCGTGCGAACGCCATCGAAACAGAAGCAAACTTCGGGAAGTCGGCAGAGCCTAAGAAACGACAGTGGTTTCGTTCCAGCCGGAGGCTTACAGCCTTTCAGTCTTGTGTCCTGCATCCATCGAATTGCGCTTGTCCCAAGCACGGCATCTGTTCTGCCTTCACCTCGGCGGTGCAACATGACGATCTCCCCATTGAGTAGATATTGCGCTAGCAGACTCATACCGATGCTCAATCGCTGATCGGAAAGAGCACGATGGTCCAGTCTTACGCCATAATCGCATGCGTTTGCCGCGATGGCAAGTCTGTCCCAGGGATTCTTGAGGCGACGCCTTTGAATTTCCGAGTGAATTGTCGCTGACATCGGCATGAATCCGGTGGATTGATGTTGAAGTAGAATCTGGTATTTTCCGATGATCTTGAGCATTTTCTCGCACGAGGCTCGATGCCTTCGGGAGCCATTCTGCTGGTACGCCAGTAGCAGGAGGGTGGTCTGTTGGCGGAAGAAGGTAGCAGAGACACAAAACTCTCCGGGAATCCGCTCATAGCCACTACATCCTAGCCGGACGACATTGAGGGGAAAGAGCAAGTCCATGTTGATGCCAGCGACATATTCTTCTTGAAAGACCCATGCTCTCTTCCACCAGGTATCTTCGGTCAGGCGTTTGAGGACGCAAATGGTTCTCTCGATGGTGCCTCTGCTAATATGCGGTCGAAAGGCAGATAAGCCACGTGCAGATTGGAAAGTCAGCTCTCCGTTCATTAGGCGAACCATCAGTCGCAGCTCGATTGTTGATTCTATTGGAGTGGACAAAAGTCCAAGAGTATTTCTCGCATTTTTGTAGATCAAGTCCATGGAGTTCATTGCGTTTGTTTTAGCTTCCTTGTCGTCTTGGTCTATGCAGACCTGATCGATCCAGAAAAGCTTCAGTCCTTTGTGCTGAAGGTATTTTGTGACTCGGGCGAGTACACAATCTCGAACCTTCAGTCTCTCTATCCCGCGAGGATTTGAATGCTCTGCAAAGTAGGCGCCCGAACGTCCATCCTCGTGAGGCGACGGCTGCCAAGTCCAGGATATAGCGACAAACTGTTGCTCCAAATTTCTATTGCGTACCACCTTGAAACAGCGTGTCGATACTTCTTCGTACACCAGACATAGTGGATTCTCAGCCCACACATGGGCCTTTCGCACCTCCAAAGCATGTCGCTCGATGGCAAGCAGATGCGAGACGACACTGGACCCGCTTCGAGAGACGATTTGCTGCAAAGTATCACACGCGTCTCCTTGCTCCGATTCGGGCTTCGGTCGCGCTTGACTCTCCACACAACTCATCGTGTGATTGCAGTAGGGCGATGCTACCTAGCAGAGTCTTCGGTCGGCCGTTCAGAATGACTATGCAGCTGTAAATCGCACCGCCTCCTAGAGGTCGACATAAGATCAAGGGACATTGCAAGACTAATTCCTCACCGGTCGGGCTCGTGCGTGTGCATGCTTTCTGCAGTAAAGCTCGTTTGGGTACACCCTGCATGCGACGCGCATGTCGCCCGACCGGCCATTCTATGCGGGCGCTTTACCCAATGTTCCGCTAACGTACGCTTCTGCAGCAGTGTTCTATGAAGCGGAGCTTCCCTGTGCGCTTTGAGTGATCTGGAAAGATATAGTATCGCCATGCAGCATATCTGCGGGTCCGTAAAAGAAGGTGACACGTATACAATCTGCCAAAGTTCTTCGAGCTTCGATACCAGTCCACGCCACGGAAAACATCCGCTTGTTGGCGTCCGTGCAGATTCCCGAGCTTTCAGTATCTTTTTATGTCCATGAACGCCTGCACGACATACTCACCCGCCCGCAATCGGCCCGCGTGCCGGCCGCAAGCCTGTCTGCGCTCTTTGCTGGATGAACACATGGTCCAATAGAGGTGTCTGACGTGTCGTGCGATAACAGGGATACACTGCGTACTAACCACTGCTCATAGCGCGAGGATCAAGCAGTCAAACTTGATCGGCTGGGCGCTAGAGTGTCTGGTAAACCCATGTTGTATTAATAATACGAAGTAGCAGATCATGCCTAGGTAAGGGGAAGCTGTCGTGATTGCAACATCTCGAGGACGTTCCTGTCAGTATTGACCACATAAGAACACTGTTTGAGCAGACTCACGAGGACCGGTGAGGTCTCGGCCAATGAGCAGGAGAAGTTGTACAGGCACGTAGCGCTCGCACCCTAAAGCAGCTGGATGGAAGTGGCAGGTTTGGACCACATAGGCGCAAGCCTGATCAATGAAGTCTTGACACGTTTGTTCCAGTATGCACACTAACGACATGTACGATCCTGACAGCTCTTGGCCACGTGCTTTCTGGGGTAGCCAAAGCAGGAACGCTGAACATTTGGGTCGATCAATTCTGCATCAATCAACGTGATTGCGAGGAGAAACAGCAACAAGTCAGCTTGATATGGCGTATCTTCGCAGGGGCGGAACAAGTAATCGGATGGCTGGGACCCGCCTTTGAAGGAAGTGACGACGCTCTCGCTGATCTCATCTTATTTGCTAGCGCACCCGATGAGGCTTCGGAGGAGCAATTTTCGCAAGTCGCGCGACGTCTTTTCGGACAGCACTTTACCCTTGACAATGTGCTTCGATACATCGGAAGTATTCTGCTTCTTGGCTCCGACCTGAGGAGTCGGATGCTGCGACTGCGACTCTTTAGCCTCCCATGGTTTCAACGCCGATGGATTGCACAAGAAGCTTGTCTCGCTACCAGTCTCCTAATACATTGCGGTCATCAGTCGATATCTGGCGCGCAACTCTTTCGCGCAATCGGCGGGGTTCATCCCGTTGTTTCTCTGTAGCTACAGCGGCCATTCCGCAATGCATTTGCGCTTCTCAAAATGCGAGAGTTGGTGCAGCATGCGACGGAGAGCGACTATCGTGTCTCTTACCCTCGTACACTACAAATCCTGAGTTTCCTCGACTGCAGAGAAGATCAGGACAGGATCAACGCTCTGTTTGGCATCGTTCAATCTAGCAACTCTTGGTTCATGCCTGCATATTGTCCTACTCCGGACCTCTACGTCAATTTCGCCCTTGCTTACATGCGACATTTCCGGTCTTTCGACATCACTCACTTCGCGGGCACAACGGAACCCACTCACCATAGGCTGGGCGTAGAAGATGTATTTTCTATTACGTGGCCAGCTGGTGATTTGCCATCATGGGTGTCGGATTGGAGGATTCGACATCGGTATCTTCCGATCATTCCAGCGGAGGTCGAACCCCAGAGACAAGAATCGAAATCCTTCGCATTCGCACCACCATTTGATCCATCTCGCAAGTCGTTAACGTTATGCGGCAAACTTTTGAGGACACCGATTAGACCCTGCGGAATTCCACACCTTGATGGATTTGAGCCTAGTGAGGATCCACAGTATCAGCTCGCCGTAGATCCCTGGTGCAACCGCATCTTCGTCAATTTTCTGAACATGCTCGCTCCTTATTGGGCATTGCACTACATCTCCTCGAAAACCTTTACCCATTGGGTCGACTCGGTTCTTCGCTCGGGTGAAGATGCCAGCGGGCACCTCCTCCGTTTCGTCGCGACTTTGATCATGGATGGCAGGGTCCAATCTTATGAGCGGCCCGACATTGCCATCCCCCAAAGTAGGGTTTGGGAATACTTTCTCGAATACGCCAAAGTGCAAAGCGTCGCATTTACCGACATGGTTGACAATTGTGAAACCATGGAAAAAGCCGCGGCCTACGGATACCTTGCCGAGCATGTGTGCCGATACCGCACCCTTTTCCTAGGCGACGACAACATTGTTGGACTCGGCTCACCGGGCATATGCCCTGGAGATCGTATCTGCTTCTTTTCCAGCCTAAAGACACCCTTTGTGGTACATCCCAATGGTGAACACTTTGAACTGCGAAGAGAGTGTTCACCATTGGGATGGCCTCATGAAAAGTGCGTTTGACCAGCTGGAGGAGGACGAGCTCGAGATTGTTTTGGTGTGAAAGTCCTCTGTGATGAGTGATTACTTGTGCGTGAAGGGCCTACGATTGACCTCCCTTGGAGAACTCCATGGAACAATACGGATGCTTTCGACAGCGGAAGATGGAACCGATAGCCCAATTCATAAGCTGCTCTTCACTTCAATCTCGAGTATCTATTTGACGCGACCTGTAATATCCCGAAAGATCTCTTTGCCTGACCTCAACTTCTGCTGACGATCTCGCAGGAAGTCTCTTTTGCGTCTGACGGATGCGGGTTCCGATGCAACTTTTAGAACATTCTCGTCTGACAGGTGATTGACGTCGAGAGGCGAGAATATCTTGTCCAGCCCGCGAACCATGTGTCGTTCGATGACTTGCGCAGTCACGTTCGCCACAAAGGTCTTACGTTGCTCCTGTCAGAACGTCAACTCTATACTTCTTGCGAAGAGACCGAATCGTACCTTATACATAGACAACAGGCAATCAAGAGCCTCTTCACAGCTGTACCTCTCCATGTCCCGGTCGACCTGACTATGAAAGTGATTGATTGCAACAGAAACGTCGACCGAAGCGCTCGTGTGGTTACTGTTGCAGCCTGGCATGCGTTCGTGGTGAGTAGCCGCCTCGATCGACTTTTCCAGACGGTCTTCCATCCGCTGCGTGCGGGCTTTCTGCACATTATCGGTGTAGTAGTGGTTATAAACCGCTGGAAAGTCCCGTTTATCTTCCAAGATCATGTCGAGTTCCTCCGCCGCTCGTTCTCTCCGCCGTTGTAGACTTTCCTTGACCTTGAGCTCCGTCAAACGGGACTGTACGTCTCGCGGACAGGTCTCTTCCAATAGCGTTCTCGTAAAGGTGGTGCATATCTCCGAGACCTGGTCAACATGGCTGGTCGCAAAATGCTCCCATTTCGAGGAAAGCTCCCAGAAGAGTTCACCAATGATGAGGGGGTTGTAGTTTCCTATAGGCTCCTTGCCACGCGATCTTACAAGGACACGGGACACCCACTCGATGGCCTCTTCATGCGACAACCGCTTGGGTGAGCTGGCCGTCGTACCGGAATCCCAACCATCGAGTGGCTGCGGTTTGCTGGCAAGGATATATTTTGGTCCTTTCCTGCGAATCTCTTCGGCGAATTGTCGATTGACCAGTTGGATCGCCGCTCGAAAACGTCTCACGGAAGTCGGAGAATCGACGTCAAAGGTCGTGTCCGAATGGTCTTGAAAATATGCGCTTTCGTAATGCCCGTTCACCGCGGCTCCGGTAATCTCCAGACATCGAAGACTGAGAGACGTCAGGTAGTTTCTACACTCGGTAGCTGTCGCTCGTGAAGCTCCGAGTTTGTCGAGCTCGGCGTCCGTTTCGGCGAGTGCTGCGTCCAGATCTCGTCGCAGATTCGGTAGTTCTCGCTTGACGTGATCGAATAAGAGGCCACTCAAACGAACACGGAGGCTGTCAATCCCACAGCAGTCCGAAGGCAACGTCTGAAAATTCGACGTGCGGAAGAAGCGTGCTTCGGAAGCGTTTCTCTCCTCGATCGAAAAGTGGGACTCTTCATACTCTCGGTTCTTCACCACGTGCCAACCGAGCTTGAAGAACACGTCTTCGTTCCGAGCCAGGGCGATGAACGCGTCTTGCGTCCCAGAACCCGGAGGGAGGCGATCCGGCTTCGTGATAACACCCAAAGTGCGATTGCCCTCTGGATCGACCGCTCGGACTTTGGTCAAAATCGGCTGATTTGCATAATCATCCGATGCCTGAGTAACAGCCAGACAAATCGTCCGGCGTTGCCTGATATAATAGTCAGTGATCTCGGCCACCATTGCTTTATCCTGCTCGGAGACCCCCTTCGTAACGTTCTGAATTAGGCCAGGGACATCAACCACCGTCAGTTGGGGACGGCTCGTACCTTCGATGACGAAGCTCAGAATGTCTTTCGAAAACGCCTGAGTAGGGGAGTTTGCATCGCTGTCTTCGCCACCGGAGCTGATGCCCATAATGGCAGCCGCTTTGGAGATGATGCTTGGTAATTCGCTAAAGTCTTCAATCGTCTCGGAGAATCCGGTGACTTTTGCGGTATCTGCCGCATTGCGACCTTCGTCGGGGATGATGCTCAAGCGTAAAGCGTCAACCGGGGCCCGCCTGAGCGTGATCTCAGTGGCGAAGCGCGTACACAGGTTGTCGTTCCTCGGGAATGGCACTTCGGTCAAAGCTTCCAAGACTGAGCTTTTGCCAGAAGACTGACTCCCACAGACGACAATCTGCGGCAATGGCAAGACAGCCTCTAAACCACACTTGCGGATCTGGGAGACAGTGTCGAGGATCGATCTTTGCTCATCGGATTGAAAGTCTTCCAAAGACTCCGTAAGGTGGACTGTGGGCTTGGGAGTGGGAACGGCAGCTTCGGGATCTGTCTTGAGGTCAGACATGTTCAAGTGCGCGTCTGGACTCGTTCGTGGCGAAGAAGAGTGAGCAGTGTACAAGAAAAGACCGCTGCTTCTTGATATTTATATATCGATATAGGTGCGATCGCACGAGTGGTAGTCCACAGAGCAAGGACACTGTAGGTGCTCAGTGAACCGCGTGCGGGCCGGGTCCTATGAATGCGTGCGTGCCTGATAAGGGAAACACGTTCGAAGGCTTATTCGGAGCAAAAGGCAGGTGGTGCGAATCTGCAGAATTGCCTTGCTTTGGTCGAAGACGACAGGATCCAAGATCTTAGCAATTCAGATGTAGGCTTCCGGGTGGGATTACTGGTGCTGAGCAGTGAATGGTATTTGGCAGTATGGCAGATGTGCCATTGCAATGGAGGTGATTCCACTGGACAGCCGTAAGTTAGGGCTCCTTTGATTCGAGGCCGTATGCTCTATCGCGTCCGATCCTGTCAAGTGTCGCGGTCACGCTAAAATGCCGTACGGCGAGCATAGGCCTCCCTTTCAAACGGCAGAAGCCGTGGGTAACGTTACGCAGATTTCCCCTTCAGATTGCCAAAGCGATACATGCAGGAGCAAACGCAGACCTTCGCCAGGACTGACTGCGACAGAAAATCCCGCGACCTCAACAATGCGGTCAAGTGAGGGGGTGAAAGCAGTGCATCTCGACCCTCACCCCAAGAAGGCATGAGCCTGGAAAGCGTACTACCTGAAACAGTATGCAGCCAACTATAGTGCACTCTCTCGGATATGGGGCCTTCCTTCCTCGTGATTGCGTTCGAATCTGATGTTGGTTTCCGTCTTCAAGACCAGCATACGTTCGATCTCATTTTGATCTCATTTTATCTCATGTTAATATCATCGATCTCATCTCAAGCTTACTGGCATACAATCCACGATCCGGACGAAAGCAATGGGTCGAACGAAGGCGAAGCAAGGAGTCGATAAAGATGGCAGAGTTGCAGAGCTCGAGCGTGCGATGGAGAAGTTCAGTCTGACCTACGGCCGAGATGATCAGAGACTGGAAAAATGGCGGTTATTATGCGATGATTGCGGTGTCGAAAGCGGCACGAGTATCACCAAGTGCAAAGCGGCAAGCTCGAGTGCCCCTTCGAGAGTCTTGTATATGTACTGATGACAAGCAGGCCCTGCGAACAGTATCAATCAATATTTGGGATCTGATCAGGGCTCGGGAGAGTGGGAACCTACCAGTTCAAGGATACCGAGACAGGATCCAGTTGCGAAAAGATCTGAAGAATCCTCGTCGGCGATTTCCACTAGCTCAACTGAAATCGGGGGACGACAACAGACTATTGAGAGCGCTTCTGGTGGCTATTGCTTGAATAGAGAGTTGATCTACTAGCACTGCAGTCGGATACCATGTTCTCTTTGCGCATGGTTCTTGAGATGCTGCACGCTGTCTAGCGTTGAGTCCGTAGCCTTACATTTGGGGTGTGGACATGATATTCCGCTGCCAACCTTTTGAGCGCCTTGATGTGATTATCGGCGTGCCTTCCGAGAGTGTACTGCTGGCTGAAGATCCTCGTCCGCTCTTTCACGTGGAGCCGTTCGTCTCCAAGGCAGAAAAGGCATTGTAGGCGATGGAACGTCTTCGGGAATTGCTCGTCCGTCTTCGAAACGACATTTCGCGGCGAAGATCCGTCGCCCAAGCGAAATGTTGGCTGGAACGGCTTCCTTTTCAGCTCTACTCGAGAACATAGACTCGCCATAGCCTGCACAGCGGCTGCTCTATCGACCCGTAAGGAAGGGTCCCTCACATCTCTAGAGCCGATAAGGTTCGTAAGGGCAGTTCTTGCCGGAATCGGAAGTGTAGGGGATGGTCGCTCTGCCTGTGTCGGAGGCTACCTGAGTCCTCCGCCGAGTTGTCCTTCGATGAGTACGGCGTTCTTATGTAGAAAGAAATCCTTGCGCAGCTAAGACCGCATCCGAGCCTTATGAAACTCCTTCCTTGTACAATATGCTATCTTGGCCAGCGTATAATCGCCGACCAACTCCTCAGATGCCGGTGCATTGGTGATGCTTCCGTACTTGTCCTAGAGAGCTCTCGCGAGACGATAATGTTCGGACTGCAAGGAGGTGACGTCCGGCAGCGATCCGATATGCTCGAGTGCTTCTGGCGTTAGCGCTACGTTAGCATCCGGATTAGCATTCGTGCCTATGTCGTCAGCTTGCGGATAAGCGTGTCTTCGGTCGCTTGTCCTCGCACGAGACTCCCGACGTCTAGAGTGATACGTTGATCTTGATAGTTATTCCGGTAGGTACGGCTATCGAGATGACCCGCTACCTAATTACGTACCTCTTTGGAGCCGGATACTGCGATAGGAGTTAATAATATGTAAGTCTTTTCGATATATAGACGTATACGAACCGTCTATAGCATTAAGAACAAGACGATAGAGCTAGTACTATATTACTATTTCCGGATAGCCTATCTTTTCTCCTAGGCTCTTTAGACGCTTTGTAGTAGTACTACCTTACACTTTAGCGCCGGATAGTATATCGCTTAATACTCGCAAGATCGGTATATCCAAGATGTCGTTATACTATAGGATAGTAACTAGAGTAGTTAAAGAAAATAGATTACTCGCGCTATTAAGTAAGGATAACTAGAAGGCTTTTGTTATAATCCTATAAGGTAGTCTTACGTAATCAAGGTCAATCGTACTTCTTTAGAGAGTTAGGTAATAAATAAACAAAGGTAAGAATACTAACTTAAGCCTAATTAGTTATAGACCTTTTAGTAAGATTGTAATATAAGTTAAATACAAGAATATTAGAGACATTCTTAGTTCCTATATACCTATCTATATCCTACTCGAATCCGATATTTATCGAGCGCTCGCTACTCGATAGCCTTTAAGCGTTAAGTACTCGCTACTCGATTACTATCGAGCGTCGAGTAGTTTAAGCTTAGGCTTTTCTTATCTAATTAGCTTACGTACTACTCCTAATAGTAAAATCCCGTAATTTCTCTACCGTATTTGTAATACTAGGCTTTACGAACTACTATAGAATATTTATCCCTAACTACTCGAAGGTTATACGAGCGTTAATAGCGCTTACCGGCAAGAGCGTACCGTTCTCCTAGGGAGACGATAAGGAGAAGTCCTTTAAAGAGTTAAAAGAACGTTTCTACTACGCTCCGGTACTTTTCTACTAGGATCTAAGGCTTCCTACCTTCCTCGAAACCGATTGTAGCGGGTTCGCGCTAGAGGGCGCTCTTATCTAAGAAAAGGACGGGACCCGACGGCCTATAGGCTTCTTTTCTCAAAAGCTAAATAAAGCCGAGATTAATTACGATATCTATAATAAGGAAATACTAGCGGTAGTATCCTATCTAAAATTTTAGGCTCCCGAGCTAAAAGTGTATAGACCCTTTATAATTTAGACGGACTATAAAAACCTTTAATACTTTATAACGAAAAGGTATTTATTAGAGCGCTAGATGTAATAGTATAAGACCTTAACGTTATTCTAGTTCTCCTTAGTTTATCGACTAGGAGTCGAAGCTATTCTCTCTAACGCGCTATTAAGAAGGGAGTAAGATACCCTAGGAGAGGATAATAAGTTATCGAGATTCTAAAGGTTCCTATAACCGGAAAGTATACCTAATTAGCCGGAGGCTATAAGAGGAAAGGAGGTAGTAGTAGCTACTACGTTAGTTAACTCTTTATACCCCGGGGCGTTCGCGACCTAGCTACTAGCTATATAACTCGGGGAGGAACTAGAGACTAAGTATACGATATTAGAACCTATACCGTATCGAACGGGCTTAGTAGGGCCCTTCTAGGATAACGAATTAAACGAACTCTAGTATAGTACGCTATCGAGGGATATACTATACCAATTAGTCCTCCGCGTAATAAAGACTAGTCCGCGAGCCTTACCGAACGAGATTAAGGTTAAGATTTAAGCGGGTAACTATAGTATCGATAAGAAAGGACGCCTCCGGCACTATAGTAAACTATAGGTGCCTAGAGCTCTAGTATCTTTAGAGGCCGAGTATAAAGTAATAGAGCCTATACTACGGCTATTAGACGTACTAAGAACTAAGCTTATTTAGTCCGTTTACGATTTATCGGTCTATAGACACCTAGGCTAGGACGCTACCGCTTCTATCCTAGGACGCGACTTCTACTAGCCTCTATAGTCTAGACAAGTCCGGTAGTTCCTAAGAAACTACGACTACTATAGACGAAATAAGGTATAGAGAGAATATAAATATAGACTTCTACGACCTTTACCGGTTCCTAATCGTTTCTTTTAGGAGATCTCTATAGACTTTATAACTAACCTACCGGACTCTAAAAGTAACCGCTTCCTCTAGGTAATTAAGAATCGGCTAAGTAAATAGATAGTAATAGAAGCAATACCTAGTATAAAAGCCAAGGACTACGCTTTAAAATTTATAGACTACTAGGCTAGATACTACGGAATACTAAGAGCGATTACGAGCGATAGAGGAACGAACTAGACGAGTACTTTCTAGAAGGAGTTCTATAGACTTATAGGCGTATAGTAGCGACTTAGTTCCGCTTACTACCTATAGAAGGACGGAGGACCTAAGAGGCTAAAATAGGACGTCTAGGCGTACCTTCGAAACTTTATTAATCGAGAGTAGTCTAACTAGAAAAAGTAGCTCCCTATAGCGTAGTTAGCGCTTAATAGTTAATACTATACGGGGATCGGAATAAGCCTATTCTTCGCTATCTACGGGTATAAAGTACCGTCGCCTATAGCTTTAGAACCGGAGTATACTAAGAAGAGCTAGCTAGCCGTATTAGAGAGGGCTATATAGTTCGTCGATAAGGTAAGAAAGATCTCCGACCTATACTAGACGAGTATAGTAGCTATAGTATAGAAACAAGAGGAGAACGCTAACTATAACCGGACTCCTACGCCTATCTACTAGAAAGGCGATAAAGTATAGTTAGACTTACGAGATTATAGAATAGATCGACTAAAAAGAAGCCTAG